TGTAGAATTAAAAGCACATAAATATTACAATATTACATTTAGATTTAATTATTTAAATATAAATATGTGTGTATAAGTTAGTAGTATGTGTGTCTATTAATAAGGATAAATAGCCGTTTATGGAGTGTGAGTGTGAGTGTACGGGTGTGAAAACGAGTGTGTAGGAGGAAAGAGTGAACTTGGTTTATTACGGTTACGGTTATGGTTATGGTTACTATGTTGATAAATAATACGGGTTCTAATAGGTAAAAAAATAAAGGAAATCAATTAGTAAATTTAATTTTTCCATATTTTTTAAATGATGAATGAATGTACATTGTCAGCATTCATTATTCATTCATTTTCTTTTTAGGAAACAATGCTATATTTATTTAATATCTAACATATAATAATGGACAATTAATAATTACTTTAATGTATATCTGTAGTTTTTTTTTTTTCTTTTTTCTCTGCCTTTTTTACTTTTTCATAACAACAGCTCAAAATTTTTATTTTTTAAATAAACGAGTGAATGGATTAATTTAATAATGAAATTAATCAATTAATGAATGTTGTAATAGGGTAGGTGTTGGTGGAATATATGATAAAAATAATGAGCGGAGGATAGGAAAAAATAGTTAAAGAAGAGAGGAGACGAAGCGAAACGAGAAAAAAAAAAAAAAAAAAAAGAATAATAATGATGTCTAATATGCAAATTGTACATTAGATGTAATGTAATGATTAATTTTTTTTTGTTTGACGTAGTAATTGATGTGTTGGTTAATAATATATAATCAGTTAAGACGGGCTGCTTCATTCAATTAATTTCATTTGTACGATCAACAAAGAGAAATTTTTATATAAAATTAAATTTAGAAAAACAAAACAAATATCAACAAAACATTCTTTTATTGAATTATTATATGAATATGGTAATGGAAACAGTTTAAAGAATATTATTTTGAATTTCCAAACTAATATATTCTGAATAAGAAATATATACAAATGAAAAAATTTCTAATT